AATAGCAGTCCGAATCTAGCGCCCTTAGTCAGGCTCTGAACGGTGCCGAGGGTCGATAAAAAGTTGTTAGGCCGGTGACGCAGTCTAACACAACAGGGATGCTAAGCGCATGATTGGTTTCGAGGTAAGTTACCCATACCCATGTTGAGGAGATGCGCGTATCTACGTAGACTCCCGATTCGTGACAAGTTCGTTTTAGCGTCTTGTCGTTCCTCCTTCACTCGCACATCCAGTCGCAGCTGCCACATCTCGTTGGAATCTCAGTTAGTTTATTGTACAGACATCAGTCGATACAATGCATTCACACTAAGAGAATAATACAATTATAGAAACATATCAGTATCTTAGGATTGCAATATGCCGGTTATAACATGAAGTCTTGTTATTTCGCCTCCTAGCAGCCTCTGACTTAGCACATCGGTCGGCAGCTGATTAATCAATCCCTGTAAAAGATCACGCAAGGGCGATGGGCCAATCCGACGAATTAATGAATATGGTGGCGTCAGACTGTCAAAGCTGTCAGGGCTGTCTGATTCAGACTACCTATTTGTAACAGTCTCCATGTGATAAGCTTTGTGGCTTGATTTTCACGTTAAATCTTATCTGTGGGGCAATCTGAGTGCACGCGTCATGCTTTAGTAGGTTACTCACAATCAGCATAAGAAAGCGATCCTATCATAGATCACAAAGTACAAGCTAAAGAAAAGAATAGCTTCAGTTTGTCAAGTCCTATCAAAATCTCGCCGAGATAGATCTAAGCAACACAAAAAAAAAAAAAAAAAATGCATTGGCTTTTATCCTACAAGTCATGTCAGTCTGGCCAGTCCTCCGCCCCTCGGCCATCGCAGAGTAGAAACCACAAACGGAGACATTAAAGACGGGACCTCAAGAGATAGTGTAGATTACCTGTTAGAGATGCTTGGGCATCTTTGATTAATAAACATCGTACTGCCGATGACCGATAAAGGTGACGTTAACATCTCGATCAATTCTACAGCTAATCAGCCATTGAGGATTTTGTGTAGTTCTAAATCGGAGATCGGTCAGGTTGATACTATTCCGTCGAATGGGGTAAAGTTAAAGCACAATCACTGGCTTTTCCAGTATTTCTTAGAAGCCTTTTTACGATCAAGCCCTGCATACTAGTCAATACCTAGCAGTAGCTTTTAGTGTGGCCCTTTAAGCCTCGAAGGTTGAGGGGGTTTCACATGCGAAGTTGGCCTATCTAAATTCTTTAGAGTCTGTTCTGTTCGGAGAGAATAAGACTACGCTAACAATTTGAGGCAAAGTCCACCCATGGCTATTCTACTTACACTAATGATAATTGAGAGACGCAAATTGGCAGCCAACCCAAGTCACCTCTTCACCCGATGTAATCCGATTTGCATGGAATTTTCGACTACCCTAGAGTCGTGCTAATTTCAACAAATGCAGTAAGCTACGTGAACATCTTGCGACAGCCTCGAGCTGCCGCGTGAACAGGCTGATCCCAGCCTTCCTGATATCAGGCTCTAAAAGCGGCTGCGATATGTCGGCTGCGCCTTGTCATCCCGCTGACGGGTAACAGGCTCGATAGGATGCGCCATCTGTGCCGATGATATGCTGGATAGAGTGTGATCTACTGACGCGTCTGCAAAAATCAGGATCTGGGGGAAGACTAAGTTCGCGCAGCGAATGACTAATCATCCTCGTAGCCAATGGTATTTTTGTAATTAGCGTATAGATAGATCCCAGATTCTCTAGCTCAGCACGTCCTTTGCCCCAGTAGGGGACTTTTGGGGCCTATGGCCCCCCGGACGAAAAATACACATAACATAACATAACATAACATAATGCAGTAAGCTACAAACAACCGGGTGAAAAGCCCTAAGCGGGAACATACCATGTATAATGAAGTAACTAGAGAGTATCAATTTAGCTAACATAATGAAAAGTACAGATGCTACCTTCAATCATCCCTGTAGCAAGCTGATAAGTCCTCGAGGAATGTTGCCTCTGTAAGAACCCCGAATGGTAAGGCAGGTCCATTGAGATCTCTTTTCTTGGGGTATTCACCCATCTCATCCGTTAAGAACCGGGAGCATGCGGCAATTGTAAAGCCAGTAATCCCAGACACATACCTGACCTTGGCTGCCATGTCAGTAGCGGATTTGTCCAACACAGCTGAAGACCATGAAGGGTGCATGATTGGAACTGTTACGTGAGATTTGACTACCCATTTACCCCGTTCGGCATTGATCGAAGACAATATCTGTTCCATGGTGCGGAAGTAAAGTGGTAAACGGACTTCGAAGAACGGATCGACATGAGAAGTACTCGCGAGGCTACGGATACTAGCTTGCAGACTCGCAACAGCAGGGTCAACTCCAATCGGGCCATGACAGGGAATACAGAGTGTAAGTATACCCTCTGGCCGAATTTCCCTATGACGAGCTGACAAGAAAGACAATAGATCTTCGTGAGCGTACTCAGCCAGGACTGATGGCTCAAACGAAGATGGCATGCATTGCAGCCAGTGAAGTGCCGTAAAGGAGAATCCTGCATCGACGAACTTGTCAGGCAGGACTTGTCCAAAAAAAGATTTGGGAACCTTGAGAGGACTGATAGATATCTTGCCGTCCTGTGAGAGTGATGGCCAGTTTTTGTTAATGGTTCTTGAAAGGCTGGTAAAGTCATTGAATGGTGTATCATTGAATATAAGAGTCGCAGATGCAAGGCCGGGTAAGTTGGAGAGATAGTTTGCAAGAAGCCGGATCCTAAGCACCATTAGCTTGCCAATATGATACATGAATGAACGCGGGCAGCGGCTCACGTATTTTTGCCCTCGGAGGAACCATAGTCAGCCAGAGTAATGATATTTCCTATGAGACATGTAAGTATTACCCAAAATACTACCATGGTAGAACAACGAGTTCAAATAGAACATGTAAGTGAAGGACACTGAAGTCAACGGACCTTTAAATTTGGGGGTTTCGAGAAGAGACAATGCCTTATCGATGGCTAGGCGTTGGAGGTTACAATTTTCATTGTAGTACCCTCCGCCTTGCATGGACATATTGTTCGACTTCATGCTTAGATGCTCTTCAGTATCAGAGTGAACTTTGTGGAAACGAGCAATGTGTCAAATAAAATGTGGGCAGATACATAGGCTATGAGAAGCTTCTATTTACATGGATTTCATGGTCTCTTATTTCCGACGTGTCGAGTTTGGCATCATGCGGTTCAATTTCTCGCCATATTCCTTAAGCCACCGAGCAATAAGAAGGAGTAGTTTGTGCCCGAGCGGTGACTAAGACATAACTTAGTGCTGCAAGATCACATGGCTCTACAGGTAGCGCAGGATGTTACGTCAATATGCTCAAGAAGCTTGGCTTTGCTATACAGATTTTGAGTTATAGGGCGTATGATAAGATTGAATACGAGCAAAGGTCTATCTCTTATTTTGACGGGATTGGAAAGAAGAGTTCGTGCTAGTGGGCCAACGAATAGATAACATGCATCACAGGGCCCAGACGGTTCTATGTTTAGCGCGATGAGCTGCGTCAGCATGCCAACATGTGTAGATCTTATAATAGAGTTCATTAGCGGGACTGATTATTGGAGTTTAATGACCTTGGCCAGAAGCGGAAGCGAAGGGCACCGAGCCAGAGATCTTCGACTGCGGATGATAGTAGGCTTAGTCTCGCCTATCATTTCTCAATGTAGAAAGCTAAAGTAGTGTTATACGACTTACCGATACGAGTGATCCCTTAAATTTTAGCCTCGACGGTTCCCAATGGCTCTTGATGTGGTTGAAGCGAGGACCGGATCTTCGGGATCTGCAATCCCGAGCGACAGTGGGTTAGATCTGTTTTGTCTCGGTTAGCGTTTGTCGGTGCTCAACTGAAATAGTGTGCCAAAATGTTACCGAGACAAGTAATCCCCTCCATATGATAGTGCTTACATAACTGAAGAGGTAATCCCCTGAACTTTAATTATTTCAACTAATTGAACGAGGTAATATCACCACGAGGCTTATCATGTACGAAAAGGGCTAGTTTACGGTAACCGTCTCAAATAACGAGGCACAATTCCGCCAGTGTCTCAATCAAGGCTTATCAAATCTCAATAAACTCAATCAATTGCGGAAGTCTTGATGTAGAACTTTTGTGTGGAATGGATGGTCCGTCATGCGGGAGTCGGACATCGAGGTCGATATATAGTGGTTAATCAACGCAGACCGTTCAGATAGCCTGTCGTTACTAGTAGAAGCAAGCATCCCTTTTTCTCTATTATATTCTTATGAAGAGTTTCATAGCCACTGTCTAGAAATGGCCTTCCAAGAGATAGGTCAGCTTTTTGGCAATGGTCACCATGTGACTACATCCTCCAATCCGAACCCCGATGCTTCTGGTGGCAGAAAACCTTTTGAAGCCTCACATGATTCACCCACTCATGCCTCTCAAGCTTGCGACATCTGGAAAAAGGTTCAGAGTATCAAGGAATGTGGTTGTGTTCTCCTCAATGGGTCTCACCTTGATATCGCTTCTGTCATTGCGGTTGCCAAGTAAGTTACTAGTCATACCAGATATCTTCAAGTTAACAATGATGCTAGGTACAACTGCAATGCTTACGTCGCGGAGACAGAAGATATTGCAAACTCTATGAACAAAAGCGTTTTGTTACTCGAAGAGTACCTATCCAAGGGTTACTTTGTCTACGGTAGGACACCGATCCATTGAGTACGAGCGGCATAGTCTCATTGAACATTAGGTGTCAACACTGGCTTCGGCGGAAGTGCTGAAAGCCGCACAAAAGATCTCCCTGCTCTTCAGTCGGCGCTGCTGCAACTCACCCAGGCAGGCATATTGGCAGATGAAGACACATTCGGTAATGGGCTCAACAGCATGTCTGTCACCTGGGTTCGAGCTGCCATGTTGGTACGCTGCAACACATTGCTTCGAGGCCACTCAGGCGTGCGATTAGAACTTGTTCAAGCCCTCCTTCTCCTCCTCCGGAAGGGAATGACGCCCATTGTTCCCTTGCGGGGGTCTATTTCAGCATCTGGCGATTTGATCCCTCTGTCATATGTCGCCGGGTTGCTTGAGGGCAACCCTGATATTCGGATCCGCACGCCAACCTCTATTATGTCTGCTGATATGGCGCTCGAAGTCGCTGGACTGGAGCCCATTACTCTAGGACCCAAAGAAGGCCTCGGCCTTGTTAATGGCACGGCTCCTTCGGCTGCTCTGGGTTGTCTGGCAGTTCATGAGGAGAATAAACTCCTGCTACTTGCACAAGATCTTGTCGCTATGTCATGTGAGGCTTTACTGGGGAAGGCCGAGAACTACCATCCCTTAATTTCTTCTGTTTGCCCTCATCCTGGTCAAGTACAATGTTCAGCAACCATTCTGAATTTTCTCGAGGGATCTTCACTTGTACAGAGCCTGAAAGAAGAGGACAAGTTCAGACCAGGTCTGGCGCAGGATAGATATGCCTTATGAGGAGCTCCGCAATGGCTCGGTCCACAAATTGAGGATATCTGCTCCGTCTTGTCTCAGATCACTGTGGAGCTGAACTCCACTTCCGATAACCCCATCATCGATATAACATCTGGTGAAGTTTATTCTGGCGCCAACTTTATATCCAGCTCCGTCGCAAACGGCATGGAAAAAACACGCCTTGCTCTTCAGATGGTTGGCAAACTCCTGTTCAGCCTCTCCTCCGAATTGATTAACCCTATGATGAATAGGGGTCTTGCACCAAATCTCGTCGCTGACGACCCCAGTTTATCTTTCACCATGAAGGGTATTGATATAAGCATGGCTGCTTACCTATCGGAACTCGGATATCTAGCCAACCCTGTTACTCCCCATGCACAATCTGCAGAGATGCACAATCAGTCGATCAACTCTCTTGCGTTGATCTCAGGAAGATACACTCTTCAGGCAGCTGATGTCGTCACTCAAATGTGCGCTGCACATCTATTCGCTGTTTGTCAGGCTTTGGACTTACGGGTGCTCCACATTACATTTCTCAAACGTCTCAGAAACAAGTTGTCCTCTGTAGTGCAGCCATTACTCAATGGAGTTGACGAACAGGCGGCGCAAGAGACATACGAGACTATTCATCAGGCTATCATGAAATCGTGGAATGCCTCAGCATGCTTAGATCTTCAAGAGCGATGCAAGATTCTCTCCAAGGAAGCACTACCGCTCCAGTGTGATCACAAAGAAATGCCTCCTGCAGCAAATGTTAGATGGTCACTTCAAAAGGATCTGGAGAATCTGGCGTATTCAACTTTTACCGAAACGCGGACTGAGTTCTTTTCTCAGCCAACTACAAAGCAATTCCTCGGTCGCGCTTCTCTGAGATTATACTCTTTTGTAAGAGAAGAGCTGGGAGTGCCTTTCCACCAAGGCCTGGTTGAACACCCAGGTAGAAGCGGTAGCAGCACGATCAATGGACGAGAGAAAAGAACTATTGGGTCCTGGGTTTCGATCATATATACTGCCTTGACTAGTGATAAAGTTTGGCATGCTTTGATTAAGGCTCTATATTAAGTTCTCTTGCCACCACTGGCCAAGCTCTAGTGGCACCCTAGATACATTTCTCTTATTGGTGCCTTTTGGCTCAGTAGTTTTGTTATTGTCATCGTTTATCCGTGTTTTATAGTAAATCTCTACTTTTATACCATATAAAGTAATTGGAATCTGAGTTGTGTATTCACCTGACTATTTATATAAAAATGAACAAATTTCGCTCGCTCTACTGATGCTCTTTCACTTGGATTACCATCAATGCCGTTAACCCCATTCATAGATATTTGATCCTTCTGCTTTGCATTCTCTCTAAGAATCTTCTTGAGCAGCTTGTCACTCTGACCACGGGGAAGCTCTTCAATGGAACGGATCTGCTTGAGCAACCAATATGTTTCGTCGAGTTGGGCCTTGATACTCTTATCCAACTTCAAAATGAGCCCCTGCTGTTCTTCGATAGTCATATCCTGCTTGGTTGGTACGATAAAAGTAAGCGACCGCTCACCTAATCCACCGTCTGCGACGCCATTTACTGCTGCGTCGGAAATACCAGGCTGCGCCCAGAGTAGCTTTTCGATTTTAGTAGGTTTGACTTGCAGAGTACAGGCCTTTCCAACCGGTCGAAGATGTTCGAGCTCTCTTTGACAGCAACGTTCAAGTTTGTATGGCCATTGGTGGCTGGGGCGATACTACTGGCTTCAGCGAAGCTGCCAAGTCAGATAAGGCCCGCAAGAACTTTGCCAAAAACATTGCTTCCACCGTTGACATGCTGGGCTTTGATTGTGTTGGTATGTCAAATAAGGTCAACCTGTGTTCAGACTGACACATGTAGATATTGATTGGGAATACCCTGGCGGTAATGGCGATGACTACAAGTCCATTCCAAACGAGAAGAAGAAATACGAGATCCAATCTTTCCCGCTTCTTCTCGGAGAAGTAAAAAAGGCCATCGGAGATAGAGAACTTTCTATCGCGGTCCCGGGCCTCAGCCGT